TTACTGTGCCAATGACATTGAACTTTGCTCTTCCATAAAGCAGCAGTTTCTATCTTCAAATAATCAAAATAACCTTGATACCCTGGCGAAGCATGTCTATTGTTTCACAACGACTGTCCCAAGGGATTTTCGTCTTCTCAATTTCTCAAGATAAACGTCCCAAGGTTGTTTACTAGAAGGACATGTCTTTAGGCAGAATTTCTTGTATTAATTTCCATTGCACAAACAAGTAGCAAATATTGTTACTGAAGCACAGAATTGTCCATGATTTTTTCTCCCCGGCCATTCACACAAACTGCAAACGAAGTCTTTCACCTTTCCAGTTGTTGACACTTTGCAAACGCCTTGATGGATGTATTTTGACCCCGGATTCTGACCTTGCATTCCGGCTAAATTTACTGCCCTTTCATACCAGTTCAATTTCCTTTAATTATTACATCCAAATTTCATGATATTTAATATTTAAAACCAACCTTTATTTCACAGTCGCTTTAGTTTTCACTTTTCTAAAATTATTTTACAGATCCAAAGACTTTTCACTCCCATCATGCAATCTCCCATAGTACTTCCGCAGACACAGTGGCGATCGCCAACATATCTACAAATAACCTCGCTCTCAGGAGCTGAGGAATAAAACGTAAACTTCAATTGACCTCACTGTGATGATGCATGCGTACTGCGTTTACATTATAATTTTAACAAGGTCATGACATAGACATTGTAATGTCCTATATCATTATTTATGCATGACCTTTGACGATATGTTACTATAGTGATGACTCTGTAGCATTATGGAATACCTGAACGATACCTGAGTTGATTTATCAATACAGACGTTACAGACATATCTCATGAATATCTTTTTAAAGTGCAATTATTAATATAAAGCATTTATGCATTTATTTTGAAAATCCGGAATCACGTATATTCGGTCTCGACCACAACTCTGTCCATTCTGGTTATTTGAAGATTGTACACTCGTTCTATAACACTAAACTGGTCACCAAATTTAATAACTGTTTCTGCTTTTTACACTGATGCCGGCGTGAGCGTTGGCAAGCTTAAATACGTTTCGATTGTATATAGCGCCACCAGCTGTGGCTGTTTCGGGCTCTATGCGTCCAGATATACACACAATTGATAAACAATATTTAGAGTGTAATCCATAAATTTTGTAATCCATGTCTCCTTCCGGATGATAACGTCGATGCAATAGTTTCGCAATAAAGAGCCAGGAATTCATGAGATATTTGACGTTATTAGCCTGTTGTGAATCCTTGTCGGATATTGGGTTTTCTGTCTGTCTCTGGAATTCCACCGTTGCTTCATCTATATAGAAGGCCGCCATTTCTAAACAAAGATGTCAGCGCACACGCATTTATGTTGAAAACGTGTGCGTGCTATACGTGT